TTGCCCTCATGATGATTGATTGACAATGATGATAAGGGTCTGCTCTCAAATACTTGCTTCAACTCTTTTAATTGAGTCGGGATATATATTTTGGAGGGGAAAGCCCAATAGAACAGCCCTAGTGATGCATTAATGGCCATTAGGGTGGGAGGAGCCATTCAGAATGCCTTCCTTTTAAACATCGTAAGAAAGAAAGCATAGCAGTCAGGCAGGAGACTCCCAGAAGCTCTGTCATTCCAGCATGACTGCATTTGGGTAACATGTTAACCTCTAGTTGTGACTCTGGAAGGAGCTGTTCTAATTTAACAAGTAATTATGTGTCACATGAGGATAAAGTTGGGGTGGGGAGATAATGGAGGATTACAGGCAGGAAGTTTTATTTCCATGGCAACAGTGCTGCCAAAGGCATCTTGAGACGAGGGCAGGCAGTGAAGATCAGGCACAATCAATGCTGCCTTTTAACCCATTAAAGGCTTAACAGTTCATAGTAACATTGTCATTCCAATATAGTTTAATGTGGGAGGTCATTTTTCTTCATTCTCTTTCATGGAGTGTGGGAAAATTTGTTGCCCATCCAAAATTACCTTTGAAGTGAATGGCTTGGTAGACCATTTCCAAGAGTAATTAAAAGTCAGTGTCATGTAGGTCAGACTGGGTAAGGATAGTAGATTTCCATGGCAGATTAAAGGACATTAGTGAATCAGACTAAATTTTCTGACAATAAATAGTAGTTTCATGGCTACTATTACAGATACAAACACTCAAATCCAGATTTAATGAATTGAATTTGGCTGCCATGGTAAGATTTGAAACAGTGTCTCCACAGTGTTTATTCACCACTATATCTGGATTCCTGGCCCATTGACATTGCCACTATGCCACTTGTGTGAGGGAATTCTGTGCAAAGGTTTTCTTTTTGATTAAATAGTGTTTGCCTGATTTTACTGATTAGAAACTCAGAATGAGAGGTTAAATTCCTGGAACTGCAAAGGAGATCTGTCAGCATCAGAAAGAGAAATGCCAGCTCAGAGAATATCAGACTGAGAGCCTTCCCCATAGGATGAGCTGAAAACAAGAATCACCCTATGATCATGGAACTATGGAATGGTGACAACACAGGAGGTCATTCAGGTCATCATAAACATGCTGGCTCTCTGCAACTGCAACTCACTTAGTCCCACAGCCCTCTCTTTTCCCCTTGGCCTGGCAATCTTTGTCCACTTTAAATTAACTATCTACTTCTCTTTTGACATCCTCAAATGGCTTCATGTCATTCAAAGGCAGAGCTTTCCAGATCTCAATCTCACTCTGCATTAGAAAGGTTATGCCTACACCTCTTTTGCCAATCATCTTAACTGGGTGTCCTCCTGCTTTTCTGTCAACGGGCGCAGCTTATCCTACTCTATCATGCCCAGAATCCTTACGATTTTGAAAATCTCCACAAAATCTCTTTTTCTCCAAGCACAAGGGTCCCTGTTCTCCAAACTTTCCACGATGCTGTAGCTCTGCATTCCTGGAACTATTCTCACAAACCATTTCTGCATTGACTCTAAACGCTTCATTTCTCTGCTAAACTGTAATGACTAGAATTGGACACAATACTCCAATTTCAGCCAGGCATATCTTCCGCAAATCAGAGAGCAGTAAAAAAAACACTACTATCCACAAGGACAACATGGACAAAATAAAACTATTAAATTCCTCTGCAGATTATAAAAATTGATCCCAAATACTTTTGGCACACAAGGATTTTAAGAACAAATGCATTCCATTAAAAGAAAAGGTAGGTTCCAGACTTCCATTAAAGGAAATATTCCTGCTTCATAGAATTTACTGTCCAAAACTTTTTGTGACTATAAAGACCAAAGTTACAGCTTCAGGATGAAGCTACCCCAAAGTTGAAAGGACAGACTTAGTAAGTTTCTCAAATGTGGACTGATAACCATGGTCCTGATGTTAACTAGGTCTGACTGTGAGAATTGGGTCAGGTTTGGGCTGGACACCTGATTGAAATCCCTCCCCATTTAGCCCTACTTTAACATCAACGCAGTGTTAAAATGGGGCGGGTTTAGAATGGGATGACAGAGCAACCTGAGCCATTGAACACAGAAAAACACTGAGTAGGTCAGGCAGTTCCGTGGAGAAGGAAACAGAGTTTAATGCTTCAAGTCTGTGGCTTTTATGGCAGAATTCAGGAATTAAGTTGGTCTGTCTCTGTGCAGGTCCTGCCAGCTTTGCTGAGCATGTCCAACATTGTCTGTTTGTTTTTCAAATTTCCTGCATCTGCAGTATTTTGCATTTGTATCAGTGTTTAATTCACTGCCACTTGTCTTCCAGGACTTCCCACTTTGAAGACGTTCTGCTGTTGTTCCACTGAGTTCAGTGAATAGAGTCATAGAGTTGTACAGCATCAAAACAGACCCTTCCGTTCAACTCTTCCCTGCCGACCAGATATCCTATATAAATCTAGTCCCATTTGCCAGCATTTGGCCCATATTCTTCTAAACCTTTCCTATTCATATACCCATGCAGACGCCTTTTAAATTTTTAAATTATACCCGCCTCCACCACTTCATCTGGCAACTTGTTCCATACACGCACCACCCTTTGCGTGAAAAAGTTGCCCCTTAGGTCCCGTTCAAATCTTTCCCCTCTCACCTTAAACCTATGCCCTCTAGTTTTGGACTCACCTACCCTGGGAAAAAGACTTTAGCTATTCATCCTATCCATGCCCCTCATGATTTTATACACCTCTATAAGGTCCCACCTCAGCCTTTGACGCTCCAGGCAAAATAGCCCCAGCCTATTCAGCCTCTCCCTATGAACCTGCCCACTTTACTCAGGCTGACTGGGTTAAAATCAGGGCTGACTACGTTTATTTGAATTTTCATCAGTGGCTGAAACTTCTATCCAATGCCCTGCTCTCTCCTATCAATGACTGCCATGCGCCTGTACCAGCCCAAAACCAGGATCTATTCCCTGCCTGGCCCTTACAAGCCAGGATATGGCTGAGATTTCCATTCTAGCTCACTGTAGCCATTAGGTCAGTCATGACTGCAATGCCTACTGCAGTTGAATAGGCTGCCCCTCACTGCCTGGACCACAAGTAAAGAATTACACTCAGATGGCAATCTGCCCTGAGCACATGAAGTAGTGATTCTGTCTCTATCTGTGAGGCTCTGAAGGTATTGATTCACAATTAGATTTGGCATAGATTTAGTTGGTGAATGAACAACAGTTTGCTTCTGAGAATATGATCAGTTACAGGCAAAAAGTGGTGGGGATGGGACTTGGGTTGAATGGTGGAAAATGATGAGTCTGAGATCTGTTGTATTCCAGACAGCCCACCAGAGACTTGCAGCTGTTTTAGTAAGAACCAGGTCCTTTGAGTAGTGATTGTAACAAGGTCAGCCAGGTGGACCTCATAGAATGTGAGTTCCCTGATTGGGGCTGTTAACCAGGTCCAATCAGGGAGCCCTGGCTGACAGATATAAACAGGAGTGTCAGAGGTTCTGTTGCCTCTGAGAGTTGGCCCTGAGGGAGCTGGGTCAGTGTCAAGGACTCTCCATGTGTAAATAAAGAGTGATTTGGTTTCAGGACACTGACCTCTGTGGAGTTTTTCCATCTTGTAGCAGCGAAGAAAATTTTAAGAACAATTTTACACAACATAACTACTCACCAACTTAGGGTAGGGAGCTCTGCCGTAGGAAAACAGCTCCCACAGAAGAATTCCGTAACTCCAGACATCTGATTTGGTGGAGAATTTCTGTTGGAAGGAATAAGGAAACTTGTTATAGATACCGTGCCTCAACAATAATGTGTGCAATAAGCTTAATGCAGTGGCAGAAGATAAACTAGCAGCCCTTCATTCTCTCTCTTTCACTCAATGAGATAGCGACAAGCTGCCATTTAACTAGCAAGGCCTGTGGGGTTTAAGTGGCCCAATTCAATCAGACGAAGGGATAGAGTTACCAAAGTCCCTGACAGCTGTCACACCGATGACTCTGTGTCAGGCCAGACCAATCCTGCCCACACACAATAGTTAAATGGAGCACAGGCCGTCAAAGAATAGGAGGCACAGGGGAAATGTTAGAATATCTTGTGTCTGGCTGTAATTTAGAGGAAATCCTAGATTAATGCAGTTGAAAGGATTCTGGCAGGTTTGAAGAAGTGGAGGGCTAATGACTGTAAGTTTAAATGTCAGTATTGTTCCCCTCCCCTCTGTGCTAACAAGAGGAATTTTCTCAGTGACAACTGCCAGGAATTTTATAGCTATGAACAGATTGTTTCAGTTGGATTGAAGGTACAACTCAGTAGTGCCCAGAAACTGGAGTGAGCTGCCTGACAATTGGTTCTGGCTCCTTTCTGAAGACACTACAATATACTGCGACAGGGGTCCTTGGGCACTCGTTATCCAATTACATCTTTTTGTTTTAATTTACTCACTCACAAGATGTGGGCATCACTGGCTCGGGCAGCATTTATTGCCCATCCCGAACTGCCCTGAAGGAGATAGTGGTTAGCTGCCTTCTTGAATTACTGCAGTCCATAAGCAGGTGCGAGAGTGCATGTGCATTCATGGGTGCATGTGCTCTGCATACGTGTGTGTGTGTGTGTGTGTGTGTGTGCATGTGTGTGTGTGTGTGTGTGTGTGTGTGTGTGTGTGTACCTGGGTTTGTATGTGCGCGTGTGCAAGTATACGTGTGTGTGTGTGTGTGTGCGCGCACCCGGGTTTGTATGTGCGAATGTGCATGGTATCTGTGTGTATGTTCTTCTGTGTGCATGTACTGGTGTGTGTGTGCATGTACCAGTGTGTGTGTGCATGTACCTGTGTGTGTGTGAGTACACCTTGAGTGTTTGTGTGTGTGTGTGTGTGTGTGTGTGTGTGTGTGTGTGTGGGTGGGTGGGTACCTGTGTGTGTGCACACCTTCAGTGTGCGTGCACGTGTGTGTATGTACCTGTGTGTGTGTGTGCATGTAACCTCTGTGTATCTCTGTGTTTGTGTGTGTGTGTATATGTGAATACATGGGGGCATGGGGGCAATTGAGACAGTTGTAATGCTTCTTAACGTTCCTCCAACACTCACTATCCAAGTGTAGAATGATGAGTGGGGTGAGGTGCCACAGAGGGATCAATGTGGGGGAATGGTACTCCCAGGAGGGATGAGGGCAGCAGTACAGAACAGGGAAGAAGCTCCACTCCCGATGAGATGGTCACTGAAGATGCCAGTCTTATTATGAGAGGATGTGATGAGGAGGCTCTATGAATGTCACTGCTCAATTTATGCTTCTGATGGAAACTCAGGTTCTGCTCTTACATGCTGTTTCAGAGCCTCAGGGGCTGTCCACTTCACCGGCAGCTTTGCCTGGTCTCGAGCACTGGATACTCCCTTCGCCAGGCCAAAATCGCTCACTTTGGCGATACTTTCATCCGAGATCAGAATATTCCGGGCTGCCAAATCTCGGTGAACAAGCTTTTTCGATTCCAGGTATTCCATTCCCTCACAGATATCACTACAGCACGAAATAAAACACACTTTTTCAATGACTGGAAGCTGAGGAGAAGAGGCCTGTGAGCTATTGTGACAGGGTTAAAGACAAGTACCGAACACTCCCCTCACAGTGAAAACAGAAGGTGCTGGAGAAACTCAACAGCTCTGGCAGCACCTGTGAAGAAGAAACAAACTGAAGCAGTTCTGAAGGAGAGTCATAACAGACTCAAAAAATTAACTCTGTTTCTCTCTCAACAGATGCTGCCAGACCTACAAAGTTTCTCCAGCACTTTCTGTATTTATTTCAGATTTCCAGTATCCGCAGTATTTTGCTTTTGCTGTACTCCCCTCATTGTGCAGTTGATCAAAATAAACCATCTCTAGTGGGTCAGAGGGGTGAGACACAGAACAACGGTTGTCTATCTGGTATTTTTTATTCATTTGTGGGATGTGGGCATTGGTGGCTGACCAGCATTTATTGCCTGTCCCTAATTGCCTTTAGTATCAGTAGTCTTGGCTGCTTTCAGTCAAAATTGAGATAGAGGTGTTATAACTAGTCTCGGTACCTCTAAGTTAAGGAAGGAAACAGGGAGGGGGATTGTGAGTCAATTAGTTCTTTGCTTCTTGGGCTGCTATCCACTTGCTACGCTGTAAGAGTGGGTATGGGTGTGAAAGCTGAGGTGTTGGAATGGGTGCAGGGGAGAGACATCCTGAGATCACCCCAAATTGAATAACCAGCTGATTGCCCTGACTCTCACAAGGCAAATGGATAATTTCAGAGTTAGAGAAGGTGTAGCTCCATCTTGACCAATTGTCCACTTGAGGGTCACGGCTCCCTTAAGGGTGAGGGGCACTGCAGGGAATGACATTAATCACGACAGTATGTCCCTAAAGGCAGTGAAGTAAATGGCCAATGGCAGCTCAGTTGGCAGAACCCTGACCTCTGACCTGACCCCCAGCTTCTGTGAGCTGACCGTGACCCCCTGCACATACCCTCACCCACCCCACCCTATCCCTGCCACTGTGGGTTGTGCCAACCATCTATTGTGGAGTCTCCATGGGTTAAAGATTAATATCTTGGACACTGCTTCACTAAACAATTCTGTAATTAAAGGAATTGAAATGATTGGAACCAGGTGGATCTTATTGAGGGGGTTGTTAACTTGGGCTAATCAGGAAGCCCTGGCTGACATATAAACAGGGGATTCAGAGTCTCCTCACTTCAGGGACTGACTCTGAGCTGGCTGGTCACAGGCAGTGTATTGTGCAAGGGTGACTTGGTGTTGGGATACCAGCCTCTGTGCAGTTATTTCAGGAATATTGTGTTTTCCTCCCATTTTCCTGTGACCACTTCCATTGTAGTTTGTAACTGCATTGCAGATGAAGGGGAAAGGCCGTTTGACTAGTTGGGGCAGTGAGAAATGGGAAGTCACATGATGAAGCCTCCAGGAATATACAAAACGGGAAGTAGCAGGAATTCAAGCTGACCCACGCCTTCTGTGAGGCGCCTCTGAATTTCTGCAATGGGACAGACTTCAGAACTTTTCACACAGGCCCAAATGAGTGGTTATCCTGATCTGTATAGGAGGTACTACCAGGTCATTGGGTTAGAAATTAAGACCACAGTCAGGGCTTTGAAGAACTGTGAAACATAATACTACAGCCACAGAAAGCTGGATCTGCTCACAAATTAGGCAACTTTGATCTGTTAGAGCAGGAAAAATATTCATGTTTCAGGCCCTTATAGACACAATTTGACTCTTTTTGCTGAGGTTTGGGCTGGTGTTGTGGGACATGCCTTGCAAATGGACACACCTTAGAGGGAAGGATGGGTATTTTGGAAATACGTTTTCAAAAACAAGCCATAAAAAGGCTGCTGCAGAGCAAATGCGGCTTCTCATTAAACTAGATCTTTGCTCTTCAAATACCAAGTGCTAATTCTCAGTTTGGATTGCGACACAGCAGTCATTAATCAGACATGAGTGATAATTAGCTGGTACAAGGATTGGGTAGAATAAACCGAATAACATCTGATAACTGCCTGACGTGCAGATTGCAGTCTATTCAACTCATTATCAAGACAAGTTTAGGAGTTACTGTTCTGGCTGATTGGCAAGTTAAAGGACACTGTAAACAGGGAACTACCTGGAATGAGCCCCAGAGGGCATATCAATGCTGAGGCCAATACAAAGGTACTTTGTGTCAAAATGACACCGCTTTAACACTCTCAGGCCTGGAAGATCGACGGAGATTCCTTGGGGTGAGCAGAATGTAATTTAAACATTGTTGGCCTGTTTCAATGTTGCAGCAAAGAAGAACGAGGTTGCAATAACATATGTGAGGAACTATCTCCAGTAAAATGAGTCAATATTAATGAGGGCAATGCTCTAATCTCCCGTGTTTAGTTTTGATACAGACTGCAGTTCTCCAAGAGGACATACCAAGTTCTGCTGGTCATTGTCGTCCTTGAGTTAGAACAGGGCCTAATTTGTAGCCTATGAGGGGGTCTCAGCGGTGGTTCAGTGGGTCGCACATTTGTCTGGCCTGCTGTGTTCATCCAGCCCTGCACCTTGTTGTCTCGGATTCTCCAGCATCTGCAGTTCCTACTATCTCTGTCTCTGAGTTTGATGGTTTTAGGATCAAGTCCTGCCTGAGGTATGTAAGGACAAGGTCCAGACTTGCTTTCCCGAGTTGAGGGAGCGCTGCAGGATCAGGATGTGCTGGACGGAATTTAATGCCCTCCCCTCAGGGTGGGTTTTGTGGTGTGAGGGCATTTAACCAGGAGGAAGGGTGGCTGGTGGGAATTCTGATGCCTTCCTTCTAACTGCCCCTTAAATCTGTGCTGTGCTTCCAATCGAATCCCTTAAGGGGGCAATTGTTGCCCACTCTGGGGCTACATCCCACTGCTGCTAGTATTGACCTTATGATGGTTTTCGTCATGTGGGAAGCTCAAAATAGAAAATGTAACAACGTTTGCTATCAGTTTCTAAGGGCAGGGAGAGCTTGGCCATGGCTGAATTGAGAGTACCTGTTGTCCAAAGGCACTCAGTGACTGAGAATCCATTTGTTAGAGCTCTCTACACAGCTGGTGGATTGAGACATTGAATGAAGTTTTTCAGTCCCTTCCTACAGGTTTGAAGGTGGGGTAAGTGGGGCTCATAAGAAGCAGTGGGTGGCCATTTTGATCTGTACGTCCACTCCAGCCTGTGATCCAACCAAATGTCTAGCAAACATTCTGTGCTTCCAAGTAGGGGTTTTGACCATTTGGTGCCCATGGC